AGTGTACACCAGGATGGACTGGAACCAACTGTATGGATGGTAAGTGTATTAATCTATTTTTAATTTACAACAGCACCACCAAATTTTAATTCAGTGGCGTAACTTCTATGAGCTCCCACTGGCTAAAGCCATGGCCGCGGGAAGTTCATATCAACATTTTTTTCTTGGAGAGAATATGTTCATAATGAAAAATATGCCCTTAAAACGTTAAAAGCACCAAAATTGGCAAGCTTTACCCTGTACACCATGACTCTACCTCAAATTAGTAGGCCTGAGGTAGCCTATGGTCAAAGGCCTTTTTGTTAGGTGGCTGCATTGCTTGCAGCAGATTTTGGCATGTCATTTATTCATATATATTAAATATTAATGGTAAAAATCACAAATTAGTGGCACAAAAATAAATGAGATAGGATTCTAAACAGCAAAGTTAATTAATAATGTAGTTATGTCTATTGAATTGAATCAAACTATTGTTATGTCTACTGAATCAAACTATAGTTATGTCTCTCAAAAAAAGGTCAATCAAAAAAAAGAAAGATAAAAACGTTTAATATACTGTACAGGACAAAAAGTATATAAATTCAATTCTAGACGTTACTAAAATTAATCTTCGTAAAATGGAAGAAACATTATATTATAGTACTTATTATAAATTATCGGCACTGTATTGATTTGTATTTATTTGTAATAATAATAAATATGATTGCAGTACATTGAGCTGTTATTGGTAATGGAATGAAACATTTTGTTAGATTTATTGAGATATGAAACTTGAGTGCTAACTTGAAGTTGAAATGTAGGAAGGTGAATCATGATTTTTGAAATACTAGCCATCATTTGGGTTATGAGTATAAATTATGACTTAAATGACTTTCTTACTAATTCCAGTTTTGATTCATGAAAACCTGACCTCGGATGTGGAAGAACTTCTGAAACATGACACAAGCTACGTCCATTGGGCCATGGGCATCTCACTCGGTGCTCTGGTTTTGGTCATCATTGGCTTGATGGTGATGCTCAACCGTCTTGTGACCGGTGCCAAACAACGTAGCATCAATAAGGACGAGATTGCTTTGGTCAACTAAAGCTTGAATCCAGTCTAGATTTTAATTTCCCATATTAGCCAATGTTTCATACTTTGTCAATAGGTTTAGTATATTGAAAAATAGGCTAAATATAGAGTTAACAATAATATGGATTTTGTCTGCACCTTGTTAGAACATGTTATTAGAATGAATTAGAACCAGCTTCTCGCATATAATGATCATAGTTTATATTTTAATATACAGTAGTTCAATTGTCAAAGCAGATGAATTCTTAAATTAATAGCTCCCTCTTACTAAAATATAGTGCTCTGATTAACAGTTGATTGTTAATTGTTGAATTCCTAGCATAGTGTATGGACATGTATCAATACAATGTTTGTGTTTACTTGTATAACCAGGGAGTTGTTAACTCCCTGGTATAAATGATGCTCATTGCTTGAATTCATAACATAGTGTACAAACATATCTTTAGTCATTCACCAAACAAATAATATTCCAGATAAGCCTATGTAAAATAAATTGTACCATTTTAACGACGCTTGAATATGTATTGCACTAAACGCACTTATTTTGACATTTTTACAAAAATTGCATCGAAAAAATTTTAATAAATACTGTGGCTTTATAATGATGATTTATTATGTAATGTCGTGTCTAGATAGAATATAGATTAGCAATGGAATAGAAAGTTCTATCGAAGGAGTATCTTTAATATTAGGTTTTCAGAATTATTATCATTAATTTGAGATATCAACTTTGTTTCTAAATTAGCATTATTCGTGATATTTTCAGATCATGGACATTTTTTGTTCAAATTTGAAAAAAAGTAAACCTTGATTTTTATATTTAAAATCAGACTGTTTTATATCTATTTTTTTATTATGGGTGTTCATTTAGATATCCTTGGTAGCTTTTCTAATAAAATGGGATAATAAAAATGTCTTTTACAGCGTGTTTATTATAAGATAACCAGTTCACATTTTTAAATGTGTTTTCCCTAACACATTCAATACCCAAACAAGAGACTAAGTACCTGTACATAGCTTGGTGGTTAAGATGCATGCCTTCCAATCCCAGGGTACTGGGTTCAATTCCTGTTAGTGTTGCAGGCTTTTTTCTCACGACCAAGACAACTCCAATTCCTAAATGTCATATTCAGATTTAGTTTGTGTAAAGCATCGCATGTGTATGTTTGTCTTGTGAAAGGGATTGTCGCCTACAAATAGGAAAGTGATCTATTCGCTATTGACAATATTTCATGAAAATAAATTACCTGCTAAGACAGACCACACTTAAATTATTATAAAATACATTACAAATGTCAACAAATTTTGAACTAGTGACATATAAATGAAGATTCAGTTTAGTTCAATTTATTCTTTATCATTTCACCATTAAAACAATAAAATAGATAATAAATTACATGTATTAAAATACTGTACATTAAAATTAAAAATGTTAAAATGTTTGGAGCCATTTCAACCCAAAGAATAATAGTAGTGTAATATAAAGTAATCTAAATTTACTTACTTTTAACTTTATCTTTTGCTAATTTTTAAAAGAAGTAGAAACGCAACAGCTTACCTACATTTTCCAAAAACGTGAACAATTTTTAAAACTTTTTTTTTTGTTTTTTTGATTTGGATGAAAAAGTTGTTTTACATCGTCTTTCTGATCACATGGCTAACGACGACCTCTACAAACCATTTAAATCCGCCTACAGTAAACATCATGGGGCCGAAACTTTACGCGCAAAAAAAATAACATTTTACGTATAATTGATGATCAACACTTTGCGTTTTTAGTCTTGTTGGCTCCGTCTGCAGCCTTTCACGCCACAGACCGTGGTGTCCTACTGTCGCGTGTTTCATCTATCAGTCAGAAGCAATGCCCTGAAATGGATAGCCTCGTATTTAAGCGGGCACAGGCAGGTTCATACACGGGTGGGGAGGGTGCGTACCCCACCCCCTAAATTACCATAGGTCCACATTTTCCAGGATAGAAAATTCAAGACCTAACTCTTGCACATTCCAGAAACACATCAACCACACCTCCCTGACCAATCAGAGCAGTTTCCAACTAGGATCCCCTCTAATTTGTCGTACAAGCAACGGCTTTTGTCTGTATTGCATAAATTTTTTTGAGGAATGACTCAACGCGAACAGACTCATCTTCTAGGTTTCAATAAAATCATCTTTAATGTCGTTTGGAAATCATCCTGATACAGCAGACGTGGAATTTAGACTTCGCACAATTCGCCATGGCGAAGGTCAGAGCAAGAAATGTATTTTTTTAATACACAAAGAAAATTATATTGCGAGTGCCACTTCAGGCCAGACTCCCAATCTGTGAAAGTCCTTCCTTGGTCCCTCTATTTCAAATTCCTGGGTCTGACAGTGGCGGATTCACGGGCAAGCCGTTCCACCCCCGCCCCTAATTTTTTTTTTCAAAAATTCAAAAAAATGGGAAAAATAAAATCAGAGCAAGAAGTATATTTTTTTTAATACACAAAGAAAATTATATTTAAGTCTTTGAGTACCATAATAAATGTTCTTACGTCAGTTCCAGCCATGGTGGGGCTGAGGTACTATAGACCCTCCATCTGTGAAAGTTCCTCCCGCCCCTCCCCTCCCCTCTATTTCAAATTCCTGGATCCGCCACTAAAAACTGTTTAATACTGTTCATATCCCCTACCCCTGATTTTTCCAAAGTTTATTAAAAAAAAAAAAAAATTGGAAAAAAGTAAATTACTGAGAGTGCCATTTTCGGCCATCAACAAGGTTCATAATCATAAATTTTGTTATCTCAGCCCCACACATGGTGTGAGGAGGTAGATCGACCCTCCATCTGTAAAAGCCCTCCGCTCGGCCCTTTTTTTTAAATTCCTGGATGCGCCTCTGAAAACCGGTTCATATTGCATCTTCATAATCGATGAAATAGGACTGCAAATTATTCAAAATGCCTGAGCTCCGCCCCTTCAACACCAGCAGGGCTCTGCCCCTGGTGCTACTCCCCCCCCCCCCCCCCCCCTGCCATTTTGGTCCACTGTCAACAAATTCACACCCACCCAATAAAAATCCTGCGTACGGACCTGCAACGAAAGCAACTTAGCTCAGTCGGCTGATCTGGTGGTAGCCACCGTGTGTGCGCTGAACTGTGGAGATCTCTAGGTCGCCAGTTCAATTCCCATCACTGCCTCTCCTTGTGTTTCAGCTGTAGGGCTGAATTATAAGTTACACTAGTGCACCGTCTTTCGGATGAGACGTTTAAACCATTGGTCCCGTGTGCATTTATGGCCTATGTGCACGTTAAAGAACGCAGTACACTCTTGGAAAAAGGAGTAGGGGATTTTCTCCCGGTGTACTGCCCAATCATTACCAGAAGGACCCCACTGGAAATAAGTGGGCTATATTTCGTGTTTACACCGAATACAGTACAGTAAATCCAATCCATGCACAGGCTGTTTCTGTTTATTGGGTTTTTCACACAATTAAAATAAGTTATACAATATAAAAAAATAAGGTAAGGTATTGTTATTATTTATTATTATTAATAGTAGACAGCAATAATAAAAGGTAAAGTATTGGTGTGAAAGGAAGTCATAATCACCAGATAATCTGTCGCATGCGACGTAGTAGGCCTAATAATTATCATTTAACATACATGCACACATAATATATACATACGGACGCACACACACAAATACACAAGCATCGGGGAAAAAAGAGAAAATTAAAAGTAGTAAGAAATAAAGTTAAAAAACAAAACAGGATACAAAACAAAGGGAAAAAAAAAGAGTGGGGGGTACACAGGAAATACTAATAACAGTAATAATAATAATAATAATAATGAAGCACTGAAAAGAATGTTTAGATTTAAAATAGTGATTTTATAGACCATATACCTGAATCAGAGATTTTTTGTAGCGATTTTTTAAACTAGCCAGAGTTGGTTTGCTTTTTAAGTCGGGTGAAAGATTTTCTCATAGTTTCGGTCCTAAATATAGTATAGAATTTTGTCTAATTTTAGTAGTACAGCATTTAGCGTAAATATAGTTGCAGAAAAACGGGGATAATGAGAATGCAAGTCAGAAGGTTTGGTAAAGAGAGACATAATATGATTAGGAAGGGCATTATGAATTAAAGAATACATAAATGTAGCAGTGTATCTTATTGATATCAAATATAGGCCTATTTAACACTTTAAAATTAATAATTTAATAACTTTAAAATAAAATAAATGTTTAGTATGCGATCTAAATGATATTTAGCTGTTAATATAGATGGTTGTTAAATAAGCATCCTTCATACCTTTTCGTTTTGGGCTTTGTACTCGGACCACAACTTCTCACAATCTATTCTGCACCGCGATCGTTAATATTGCTCATAATCACGGAATGAAAGTTCCTGTATGTATGCGGACGACACAAATTTACTTATTTTTTGATCTACACTGTTATTGATCTGAAGCTAATGCCCGCAAACAAATGGAAATATATATTACTGATGTCAAAGTCTGGATGACTAAGGCTCAATGACAATAAAACAGAATTCATACCTCATGGGTGTATGCAAGACACCCCCCCCCCCCCCAATAATCAAAGGTCCACATTTTTTCCAAAGACATTTTTTTCTACGGCCTTTTCAAAATGACATAAATGAAAAAGTATTGATGAGGTACCAGTAATGAGTCCAATTACCTTGCCAATTGCGTGACGTAATCTATCTCAATTCCAAGGAACGAACGTACTCCTCAATGTGTGTCAATTCGGCACCAAGTTATGTTTTATTTTTTAAATTATATTGATTTTTAATCCCATCTTGCTGTTATTTCATTGTGAAAAGGTCCATGATCACGACCCACCCACAATATCCTGGATACACCCCTGTACCTTCAAAATCAACCCAATACCATAACCACCTGCTTCACAATCTGTTCCAACAGTGAGTACTGCTGCTTCTCCTAGTGCTCGTAACCTCGGAATAGTATTCGACCAATTGCTTTGATAACAATACGTTGTCCATGGATGATCAACGTCAAGAACATCTGCAAATCTACGTACAGTACGTTATTTCAACATTATTCGCAATCAAAATCAGGAAAGAGTTGTGAATGACAAAACTGCAGCTACACTAGTGCACGCTCTAATTACCTCAAGAATTGACAATGGGAACTCACTTCTACATGTTAATAACGAACAACTGGGAGGGGTTGAAAATTTTCCACAAAAAAAAAACGTAAATGAAAGGGTGGTCGGGGGTCCTCCCCTGGGAAAATATTGATTCCTAAATGGTCAGAAATGAGCTTTCCCGACTTCTAAGGTGTCTTTTAATGACCTGTTATTTCTTCAAAATTCGAGGTTTTCCCTCTCTTAAAGGTCAGGTGATTTTTATCTTATTCTTAGGCCTATACATAGAGAAAAAAAAAGACATTACTACTATACTGTATATTATTATATTCCAGCAATATAGGACCAGTTGGATACGTAGTTTTTCTTCCATGGACTAATGAACCGATAGGCCTGAAGAACGCACTTTTCAATTGTATATAAATTAGTACGACGTCGAACCAAAAACAGTGTTTTTAATATTATTTAAGCAGGGGCAGATCCAGAGATGTCCAAAAGGGGGGGGGGGCGAAATTTGGGCCGATTGAGACAACACTGAAATAGGAGGCCCGGGGGCATGCCCCGCGAAATTTCTGTGTTTTAGACGCCCGAAAATAACATTTGAGGTGTTCTGGGTTATCGTTTTTCTTTTTCTTTTTTTCTTTTTCTTTTTTTTTTTTCTTTTTTTTACCTCTCAAAAGGGGTGTGGCGGGGCCGGGCCGCCTCCCCCCTAAATCCGCCCCTGATTTAACTGAAAGCTGTTGGGATAAGCCTAAGACTATGCCTAATTGGTAGGTTAGCATGCCTTTTGTAAGCCAGGACCAGTAGTTTTGTTGTTTCTTCATAGAGGGATGGTGGGGGGGGGGGTTTCGTCCGAACGCCTTGAACCCCTCTTCCCCCACCCAGGATCCGCCACTAAACAAACCTATTTAACGCCACTTCTAAGATCACCACTTCCAAGACTTCCTTATCCAAACTAGCAAACAGATCTGTTTAAAGATTCATTCTTCAAAAATGCAATCGACTTGTTATTATTATTAAATGTTTCCGCCAATATTCCCAATTTTTCAATTTTCCGGTCGCGACGCGAAGAATTTTCTCGTCAGTTGGCTGTGTCGTTAACAGCTCGTCACGGTTGAGTGACTCCCTACCTACCTGTCATTTGGGGAAATTTTTACCGGTGCCATTTTTACCGCACACCCATTTTGTGTCACTCTTCTACTGAGCTTTTGTAACTACGTTGTAGATCCTCTGTTGGTTCGTTTATAGTTCATTTAACAAGAAAAGTATTATTATAAACTTTGCATGCAATATAAAAAGACCACAGTTTGTTTTCTTATCATTATTATTGTGTTTATGCATACTGCTAAATGTACTGTAACTTAGGCCTACATGAGGCTATGATTCTCAAAAGCACTACTGGTAAGTATCTGTAATGTCACGTAAATAATTTAGTTTATCTATATTTTAGAATAATATAAGAATTATTTCTTCTGATGTTTATTCACTATCACGTATACATTTTATTGTACATATTTTCAAACTCTATTCTTCTAGCAGTACTGTAAATGATACGGAATGGAGCCACTAGGGCTCTGGTATTCAACCAAAAATTTTGAATCCGGTCCGCGCAACGACATTGAAAAATAAATCATTTTCTGGCTGTATTTTAGAACATAAGAAAAAGTTTTTTTCTGACCACCTACTTTGGCATTGAAGAGTCCGACTTTTTCTGAGTGTAGCTCACTGTATCCAGTGGCGTAGAGTAGGGCATATTGACATGGGGAGGGGGAATCTCATGGGGGAGGAGAGGATAAAGTATAAGTGATAACTTCCCTCGTATTATTGTCCTACTGTTAGTGAGGCCCAAAAAAATGTTTGTTTGGCCACTTTTGGGGAATTGGTAGGTCAGCATTAAGGTATTTTTAAAATCAATGGCGAAATAAAATTTCATACATTTTGGGTCGGTCGGGCGTGGTCACCACAGTAATCTTTTTTTTATTTGGGCTAAAGCCGGGCACTCTCTGCGCATGACGGTCGTCGGCCGACGAGATTCTATGAAGAACGCAACGCGGCGCCGAGCGCGCAACGGATCGTTTTTAATGATGATCCGTTCAGACTGCCACTGACAAATCAGCAGACGGCGGCGTTGCTTCGTCTATCGATCACAGTGAACGGAGTTGGATTTGTCGTGCGACCGTCGTACGACGCACTGATTGCCCGGCTTTATACTCCACCCACTTCAAGCAAACAACCCGACCAGCTTTTTTGTTGATCGTTTGATTTATGTTATGAATGAATGAGTATGTCATGTCAATTCTGGTAAATTGTGTACCTTTTAATAGTAACTTCATATTTGTTTTTTAAATAGATATTACTTCATTCATTTCAGTGAACGGTCTTTACCAGTGGAAGATCTTAAAGTAGCGAATCATATCAAGTATTATAAGTATTTTTATGATTTTTTCATTCAACATTTAATGGAAAACATATAAATACTGCTATGCATAGTTTACTTTTGGCTTTCATTGTTTTACAAAGCTTTTGTAAGACATCAGAACAAGGTATTTATTTTTTTAGTTTCACAAGAATTTAATACTTTTAGGAAGCAGGTAAACTTTTTCTGAAAAACTGTTTAACATACGGATGGTATTTCACTGGTTGGAAGAATATAAAAATAATGTATCTTGCTAAGCACAGCCTCTATAAAAATACACTAGTAATGAAATCTAATTGTACTCATTTCTGCCTTATACAGAGGATTGTATGTTACCTGTTGACTCAGGAATGTGTTCAGCAGGAGACCCAATATTGCGATTTTATTACGATCACACAATTGGAAATTGTTTACCTTTTGCATATTATTGTGATGGCAATAGTAGCAACTTTGAAACAATTCAACAGTGTCAACTTGCATGTACAGGTAAACATTACTTTATCTTCTTGTTCAGTGATTGTGTTTACAAGGTGAAACGGTAAACAAACTACTAAATAGTTTACGACACTGGTCCTGACTTTTTATTAATATTATCAGTTTTTACTTCAGTATATTGTAAGAAAATTACATCACAGCAAACATCTTGTCGTTATTGCATTAAAAATATGTACTCCAAGTGATTGACCTATTTTGATGAAGTTTACTGTATAATTTGCTATTATGTTATATGTTAGGTAACACATTTTGTTTTAGCATTAGGCCTATAGTCTGATGACTGATTTTTTGCCACTCCAATCCACCAATGATACACCAAGATACAAATGCATTGTGGCTATGCCGCAATAATTAGAATCAAATGAATAAATTACAATGAATCACGAATATTGTAAAATATTAAAAATGACCATTAATCTGTCCACAAAAGGTGAATAGAACCTATTATATAGTTGCTGATCTGTAAGTGTTCAATACTGTATCACAGTAAAAGTTGTCTGGAATTACATTCAATGGTCTTGTAAACGCTAACTTATCGTATACAGATGTTCTGATATAAATATTCATTGAAATTAGAACAATTTATAGTGTTTTGGTTTGGTGGTTTTATTCTCTTGTGTGCGTATGATGTTGAATCGCATAGAGTTGACTAAAAGTAAACCAGGTTTAATAATGCTCCACAAATTATTTGGGTCTTTATCATTTTGTTATGCATAACGTACTATATTAGAACCCTGTATGCTCTATAACAAGAGCACTATGTACAATTTCAATAAATTATATTTTAACATATTATATAGGAAGATCTGTCAATGCATGTGATAGTTCTCCTTGCCAAATGGATGAACAATGTGTTGACAATGTAGCCGGCGGATACTGTTGTGGTAATATTTTTCATTGATTTGTTAATATATTATTTATAATGATATTTTATTGTTTAATTAATATGATCATCATTTATCATCTATTCTCATCCA